GGGCCACCTAAACATGGGTAGGAGCAGTGCCAGACAGGAGCCCCTGCCCCTGCTCCCCTTCCCCAGGTCAGAGAAGCCCCCTGAGGAGCACCGACCTGCCAGGGCCCCGCACGCCCCAGCTCACCCCCCACACAGAGGGGCACGGCCCCCCCAGGTCCCCAGGGGCCAGCAGGGCAGGACAGCAGAGGGAGGAGGGAGGCCTGAGGTCCCCTTTGCCAATGCCCATTCCCAGTTCTTCCATTGCTGCCACTGGTGAGGGGCCCTGTGCCACACTCCTCCAGGAAGGGGATTTTGGGGCCATCCCAGTAAAGCCAGAGCTGTGTTCAGCACAGTGCACCCCTGCCAAGGTGCCACCAGCCATGAAAACCACTCTCTACCCCTGGAAATACCTCCTGGCTCATGCCTGGGGCCAGCAGCAGCATCCCAGTCCCTTCCAGGGCACACCCATCCCACAGGCACCTCAGCCCCTCAGCCTCCAACCATCCAGCCCTGGGAAAGCTCCAGCTGCACTGTTGTTGTTGTGGAGTCTCTCCCGCTGATATCCTGGCATTAGTTTTTCTTCCAGAGTCCTTCAAAATATCCTGGATGATCTGACACCAGGACTGGGCTTCTGACAGCACTTCCAAGCCCCTCCCAGCTGGGACCAGCCCCTGGCAGGGGGGACAGAGGCCATCCAGCTCCCCTGCTCTTCCTCAGCGTCTAGGAGGAAGGTGGTGGTGCCAGGTTGGAATGTGCTACTTGCCCCAGCTGGGCTGGTACTTGCCCTCTCCACAGCAGGACAGTGCCCTGTGGGACACGAGACCAGCCCCAATGCTGCTTCACCTCAGCCTTGCTCCCAGCACTTTGGAGTATTCCCATGCCAGAAGGAGGGGAAGGGTCTTTCCTTGGGACCTCCAGCAGTCATGACCTTACAGAGCCCCATGGCTGGGAAACTGGGGTGCAAGAGGGTCCCCAAGGGGCTCCCCCTGGGCCAGGATTTCTCTGCATAACCCCAAAGCCACCACAGCCTCTGGCCAAACCCTGTGAGCCACTCCTGGCTTTGCCAAGGGAATTTGGGATGGGCCAGGGGGTGTGGGGGTGCTGCCTGCACCCCAGCTGCCCCCGCAGGCCCTGTTGTTGCCACCCAGCAGCTCCTGGCACTCAGGCCCTTTTGTGATTCAGCCAGTGTTTATCCCAGCCCGCCAGGCCCAGCGTGGGTTTCCATGGAAAACTTCCATCCAAAACAAGGAGAGAAGGAGCTACAGCAGGAGTGACTCAGCCACAACTGGAAGCTTCTGCAGGTGAAACGGGGAAGGGGGGGGGAGGCTGTTCCCCATGGCTTGGTCCCACTCCAGGGAGGGCCTGGGGATGTCCCTGGCTTTTCCCTGCCTGTGCTGCTGCCTCCGGAGCCAGGCAGGCTGGGGGGGCTGTGGGACACGTCACCTTCCTGAGCACCCCCTCCCCAGCTGCTGTGCCAGGTCCTGCTGGTGGGAACAGGGGAGGAAGAGCATGAGATGAGTAAGGCTCCCAACCCCAGCAAGATCCACACCAGATGCCTGGCTTGGTGGGATGTGGCTTTTCCCAGCACTGTCCCTGGAGTCCCGGGGGTGCAGGGGAGGTGGGGGCAGGCAGGAGGTGTCTGAGGGGAGGCAGCAGCATCTGCTCCTG